AGATCTCTAGAAAAGTTATCACATAGGTGTGGGACTTGACTTTTCTAGATGTCTGTGTCAAATTTAATGGTGATCCTTTGAGGTCCTACACATATGGGTGTGGGACGGTCTCATAGGATCATTACTCTATATTATATTATATGATATTATATATTATTACAATTATATTATATTACATTATATATTATAGGAAAAATATCTCCATACTCTTTATTGTTAAGTTTTATATCTCAATAGACCCAAGGTTTTAAAAATATATCTTGAGTCATAAAAATTTTAAGTTTTATATCTTTTAACCCCCAAAGCCAACTTTATCCTTTTTAAACCTATTTTTTTACCTCAAACAAATATAAGAAAGACATCATTTCTAAACACCATCATTTCTCTCTCTTCACGTGATTTTCCCCTAAATCTCTCTCTCTATCTATTTTTCCACTCTCTCTCCCCCTGCCTCTCACTCTCTCTCTCCCCTGTTAGAGAGACAAAGAGGGTGAATGATAGAGAGAGAGAAATTTGGGGGAAATATATGACGTAAAGAAAGGAAGGGTTTAGAATGAGCATGTCTTTTTTATATTTGTTATGGTTGATAAATAGTTAAAAGTGGGTAAAGTTAGTCAAGGGGTTAGGAGATACATTTTGAAGCTTTGGGTTTATTGAGATATGAAACCAAAAATAGGGTATACGATGATATTTTCCCTATATTATACTATTTATATATTATGTTATAATAACATAATATTATATAATGTTATTATATTCTATTATATTATTGTATATTATTATAATATTCTATTGTATATAATTTGTAATATTATTATAATATATTATAATAATACTATGATATTATTATAATATATAATAATATTATGATATATTATAATATAATTATATATATTATAATATATAATATATAATATATAATATATAATAATATTATAACACCATTTTCCCAGTGTTAACTTTCACTGATGGCGTGAGTTTCTCTGAAAGTAGCCGCGATCGGGTACCCTAATGCAGCAACTTTTCTTAAGAGAATAGTGAATGAGGAGAACTTGTGTTCCGACGTTCCTTTTTTTTTTACTATTCTCAAATAGGTGAAAACTGCACTAACAGGGAAAGTCATTCACTTTCACCGCTATAGCGGTTATCAAATGCCCCCATAAGCTATGCAATTTTGATGGATTTCCCAAACATTTATTGAAGTTCTCCGACTTCTCCAAAATTGTAAAAGCACATTTCATTAGGATCATGTTATTTGTAATGTTAGAAGCAAAACATCTTAAAGCATGAAATCTAGGCATCCTACTTTGTGTACCAAAGCCCACTAACTAAATGTTTTAACTTTTAATATTTTCCTTTCTAGATTTAAAACAAGAAGCATATGATTTGTAGGAGACTTTTCCTTAAAAGGTTGTCACGTATAAGTCTAAAAATCTCGCATCATGAAATAAATAAATCAATTTAATTTATGTTGCAATAAACCCAAAATGCATTAAACCCCATTTCAGATCTGCTACATTTTTGTTTTCTCTTTTCTTTTTCTTCTGATAGTTAACCTAATTTAATATCCTTGTGCCATAACAATTGTATAGATTGAAAGGCAAATAGCTTCTTCTTCTTCGTCTCTTCTGGTCACACTCACTCCATTCTCTGCGTCTGGACAATTACTGCTCAATATCTGATCCTTCTCATTCTCTTCAAATTATGATAATAAGAGAATGAAATAAAAAGTATAGGCCATCACTCATCAGCGTACATATAATTACAGAAGTGTACATCCAAGAAGTATATAATTGACTGATGAGATAGGCTTATACGTTAAAACAAAGAGCAGGGGAGGCATCTCATCTCAAGATATACAAAATTTCCATTAACTCTACATGTAGAATTCAAATGCAGGTAGACATGCACATAAAGAAAGACCGCATCCACAAAAAAGTTTATCTCCTTCATTCATATGGAGGACAACCATGGCCACAAGAATCAAAGTACTAAGTAACAGGCTTTAAAGGTCATGCAACATGAACTGCGTTGAATAGGCAGGCAAGCAATCTAATACCTGAAGGTGATACCATCTTCACAGCAGCTTCTTCCCCTTGGTCTGTACATTGCACTCCATTCTCAGAGCCTGAACTATTACTTCTCAAAATCTGATCCTTTTCGCATATAGCAAACTTTGATTCTGAGAGAACAAAACAAAAAGCATGGTACCATCAGCATCCATTGGGAGCATTAGTGTACATCCAATAAATATGAACACAACTGAGAGAAAAGGGAGGAACACAAATCAAAATACAAAGTAGAAGTAGCATGCTCAATAATGGTTCCCAGTGGGCTTTACATGCACAGTAAAAACACGTGTATTCACATAAATCATTGCACCATTGATTTAATTCCACAAATTACAATTGGTAGTTACTAGATTCCCTTTAGAAGTTTTAGGAGAATCTAGGAGAAACAACATTCAGATACAGAAATTTGGTGGTGGAAGGATGAAGTTCAAAAGGCTGTTAGAAAAAAAAAAAGATCATGTACAAAGCTTGGCAATGGAATAGAAATGATCAAAACTTAGAAGAATACAAAAATGCCAAAAAGAACGCTAATAGTAAGGCTAAGCTTACAACGTATGATGATCCATCTGATAAATTGGAGACAAGAGAAGGTGAAAGAGACGTCCTAAAACTAGCAAAAATGTGAGAGAGGAAGTGTAGGGATCTAGATCATGTTAAATGCATTAAGAGTGAGGATTAGAGGGTCTTGTTGAAGGATGATGAAGTCAATAAAAGGTAGATAAGTTATTTTCAAATATTGTTAAATGGTAACCACAATGGGAGCACAGCATTAGGAGGAACCTTTCATATAAATGAAGTCAGAGGTCATAAATATATTTGTAGGATTAAGATATCTAAAGTGCAAGAAGCTTTGAGAAAGATGATAATAAGAAAAGTTTTTGGACCAGATGGTATCCCTATAGAGGTTTGGAAGTGCATGGCAGATATTGACATATCTTTATCTTGGTTGACCAAGATGTTCAACAAGATTTTGAGAACAAAAAAAAATGTAAAACGAATGGAGAAAATTAATTTTATTATCTGTTTACAAGAACAAAGGAGACATACATAATTGCACGAACTATTGAGGGATCAAACTTATAAGCCACACTATAAAGTTGATAAGAGAGTGATTGAGTAATGACTGCGACATAAAATGATTATATCCATAAATTAGTTCAGTTTTATGCTAGGTAGGTAAACCATTGAGGCTGTTTTCCTACATAGGAAATTGATAGGGAGAAGAGAAAAGACCTCTATATGCTCTAAGAAAAACATTTGTACAATATAGCTTTGATTGAAATGGAGTCTAGCTAAGATTGATGGCTAAGAAGTACCTAAAAGATATTATTTTTTATATAGGTTGATATCCATGAGAATGAAGAGACTAAGGAAGATGTCGCACATAAAATTAGAGTTAGGTGGACGAAGAGGAGATGTGCTTTTGGAGTCTTATGTGATCGTCGCATATCAATGATATTAAAGGGGAAGTTCTATAGGACAGTCGTAAGACCAACCATTCTTTATGAACGGAATATTGGGTTGTCAAGAAATAACACATCCATAAAATAAGTGTGGTTGAGGCCTAAGATGAAGATGTTGAGCTAGATGAGTAGTAAGACAAGAAATGATAGAATTAGGAATGATTATATCCAAGGGAACTTAGGGGGTACTTCCAAGAGGTGATAAGATGAGGTAAAGTAGGCTTAAGCGATCTAGCTATGTACAACATCAACCTAGAACAACACCGGTTAGGAGGGGCGATTCGGTTCAAGTGGAAGTCATTAAAAGGGTAAGGGAAAGGCTCAAAAGGATATGAATAGAAGTAATGAGAAGATATATGATGACTTATGGTCTGACTAAGGGTATGGCGCTTGATAGAGCAGAATAGTGGAACAATATTCGTGTAGCTGACCCCAAATAGTTGGGATAAAGCTTGGATGATGATGATGCTAACTCTTTAATATTAGATTGTAACTTAAGTGCTTAACAGTTGTCATGAGCTTTTTTTTTTTTTGTAAACATGGGATGTTGATTGTTGATTTACTTTGCATTTGAAAAATTCGTTAAAGTTGCATGGTGATCCCAATTTGGTAACCAATTTTGTGAGCTACAATGCTTTGCGATTAAAATTTTGAGCCAAAATTGGTAGTGCTACCAGTTGTGAAAGGAAATGGAGTGTCTTTGAGCCCATCCATATAAAGGCGACAAATAAACTAGAATATAAGCGACTATATGAGCTAGTTTTTATCCATTACAATTTGAAGCTGCGAGAAAGTTAACTCACAACCTACAATTCATGTTTTATGATTTTGTGTTCTATTTGATGACAATTTTGTAAATTGTAGTCATGTGATGTAGGCAACTAAAAAGGAAAAGGTGGTAAACTACAGAATTCATTTTACCAGCATATATTCATAAAATGGATGAGGTGTCACCGAGGTTCGGGGATCCTTGAGGAAGAAGGCAGAAGTGGAGTGAGAAGACTTGCAATGGGCAGAAGTTGAGCAACTAAGAGTAGAGGAGGGGACAAATGTTGCCCAATGGTGATGTGGAGGAAAGCAATCCTGTTGGGCAATCCTGTTGGTGGTGTTGAGTGTGCTAATGCTTCTTAGCTCCAACAATGATATGATGACCAGGACTAGAACTATGATTTAATGCTTACTAGTTTTTTTTTGGGTCTTTTACTGTGGAAGTATGAATTAGACAATAAGTTCTCAACAAAATGCGAATGGAACTTAGATTTGGTATATTGGCTTGCATTTCTTTGAATACCATGCATGTGTGAGACATTTTGTTGACTCATTTAATTGTGAATTTGTGTATTCATGGTTCTTGTCCACATCATTTGCAAAACTTTGTCTGGTGATTGGTGAATGTAAAATCGTGGATGCTCAGAATTTTGCTTCTTCATGATTATGGTTAATTTTGGATTGGGAATGCCATTAGCTTGATCATAAATATTATATACAGTAAGTAATAAAACTTGATTTTAGATGTGTGAAAAAATTCTACATTTTTGTCTTGTCAGTTTTTTCTTACCCAAATCAGCCCAAGTGCTAAAGCCAAGCCCCTAGCCTCCAATGCAATGGCGAAGCCAAAGAAGCCTCCAAAGCGACATTCAAAATGTACAGAGAAAAAACCGTGATTGTATTGCATTTTAGCCCGGTCTCTCCTTACTTTTCTACTCGCACGAGTCTCACTCAGTTAGCAAATACTAAAGCCAGTGATCAGAACGCAAAAGCACCAACAGATAAAGCATAAAAAGTTAACCAAATTTCCCAGGGAAAGCAACAGCAGACGATGAGATTGATACAAGACAAGTTCAGACGATAAGATTGACAAAAGACAAGTTCAAGAATTATCAGATAAAGAAAAGAAAGAAAGAAACAATGTAAACTGAGAGAGGGAGCAGTAAAGGGTAAAGAATGACACCTTTGTTCTCCTGTTCAATCTCTTGCGCCTCTTCCCTGTTCCCTTCGCAGCTGCACTTACAATCCTCATCCCCTGATTCTTCTGTCCAGGGCTCCGCCATGACTTCGATCCTCAACATCCTATCCGAGAAATTCACATTGTCGAATGCAAATGAAAAATTAGGAGATTGAATATTAGATGCAGCACCAGAATCCGCAGACTCCACCATTGCTCACTGCTCTAAAACAAATGGAAACAAGGGAACACTTTGTTGCTCAAATTTTATTAACCGATTGAAACACAATTATTCCCGTCGATCGGCACAATGTTCTGTGTCTTATTTAGAGAAATTTTCAAGGGCTTTTTAGCAGAGAGAAACCATAAGCTTCTTCAAGCGTTCAGCATTCGAGAGCTGAGGAACTCTGAAGTGTATTCTAACACTCCGAAGACTTCGTGAGGAAGAAATAAACATGACACCTGGAATGGGAAAGAGGGATGGGCCCATGACTTTGCAGGTTCGGTCCCACAAGTTTGCAGGGTATCTGCTTCAGTGTTTTTACGCTTTTTTAGGAGTCAAGTGATATGTGATTTTAGGAGACTTAGTAAACGATAATGGTTTTTTTTTTTTTTTCTTTTCTTTTCTTTTTTTTCTTTTTTTTTTTTTTTTTTGTTGGAGATTGTATATTTTACTAGAACGGATTGGATACTATGAGACTTTTTAACTTCTTTTTTTTTCTCTTTCTTTTTTTCTTTTAGAAAGAGGTTACGATTACGAAATTCAATAGCTGAAAGTAACATTAGAAATTTTATTTTGGACTCTATACATATAGAGACATATTAAATTATTTAAATATCCATTTTAATTTATGTTACTATCAAATTACCTTTTTCATTATTACGTTTTTTGGACTTCACAACCAAATTTTAAAAAAGAGAAAATTACTCATTTTCAATTTTTCAAAAACTGAAATCATACCAATTCAAAAATCAAAAATTTTAAATTTTTTATTCTTCCAGAAAAAAAAATTTTGGGTCCTCAGCATATTCTCTCTCTACATCTCTCTCTCTCGACTAATCAAGTTCAAAAACCAAATTTTTTTTAAATTCGATTTTTGAACGACCAAATTTATTTTTTTTTGTTTTTAAACACTCTTTATATACCCTTCCTTTAACCCAGGCTTTACCCTGTTTTTTCTCTTTAAACTTTTCCCAATCTTTTCTATATGCACTTTTGCATAAATAGCTGCCACAAAACCTCTCTCTAAGAAGAAAACTAAAAACTACTCTCTCTCTAAAAAAACCTAAACTCTCTCTTCCTCTCTCTCTCCCTCTCTCCCCCCCTCTCTCTCTAAAACATAAAGATTTTAGACCAGAGCTTTTTCTAATACTCTCTTTCCCACCCTCTCTTTCTCTCTCTAAAAAAACCTAAAAAACTTACATAGAAACTTAACCCTAGCTTAACTCCAATACTCTCTCTTTCCCACATACACCCTTTCTGATTCTATATCAAAAAATCTCTCTTTAATAAGAAACCTAGAAATTTTTTGCTAAAATTGTAAGTCCTAGCTTGTTCTGAGTGTGAAGACTTTAAAGACCTAAAAAACTTGCAAAAAATTGTAGAAATTGAAGCTTCAGTGTGTTGATGACCCAGCCTACGATGCCCAACCTTCAAGAAGAGATCTC